CTGAAGAAAAACGCTACGAAGCTGGAACCTTAGTGAACACAAAGGAAGGCCTTCATTTGGACTTGTTGAAGTGTGAACTTCCCTGTGTCCTAGCTAGTAGCTACCGGATCGCCTAGCAGCTATTACGGCCTACCCACCTTAAAAGGCTCACTTGAAGTATTTGAGATTTCACAGGCCTTTCAGATCCATTAGATCTGCAATCGATAATCGCTCGTGCAGTACCGGATGCGATGCAGGAGCGGACCTCTTTCCTTCTACTTCTTTCGCTCGTGCAGTCCAGGCCACCATAAAGATTGCTCAACGTGACGTTGTCCCGCACTTGATCAATCCATGGAAGCTATGACAAGCGTTCTCAATTCTTTGTTCATGCACTAGCAATTTTGCGCCGTTCAATGGCAACGTTGAGGCTGTAGCGAAGCGAGTTGGAAGAATCCGCGACCTGACCAGGATCAAGTTTGCAAGGCCACAGCCATGAGTTGTTGATACAGCCCCAAAAGCATGGGGCAAATTCCAAGCAAGTTCCTCTGCCAGGCAATGGCTCGAACGCCGCATACGTTGGGCCAAGCAGGAATCAGCTACATCAAAAGCAAAAGATGAGTGGAAGGTGCCGAGATTTGCAGAAAATATGTACGAGTGCACAGTAAACACAGTAAAGCGCATGTATGATATATATATATATATGGGCATGGGCTCACTTGCACACCACAGATTTGGCTCACTTCCGCACAATGAGGCTCTAAGCTGCTGCAACGGATGCCAGATGAAGGGGTGGGGGGGTTGGGGTTGGGTGCACTAAAAGTAGGCATGGTCTATGGCCATAGGATACAGCTTGGGTACTTGTGCACCTCGAGGCTCTAAACTGCTGAAAGGGTTGTGACATGGGTCAGGCACCTGGGTCCTGAGGCACGCGTGTTCTGTTACAACTGATGGATGCAAGCGGCTGTGGGGGTTGGGTCGTTCTAACAGCATGCGTGGTCGATTGGCATAGGTTACAGCTAGGGTAAATTCTGTCTCGTATTCTCTTCCGTCACAAACTGTATCTCATTAATACAAGCAAGAACTAAGAGCCACAGAACCTGCTCCGGAACAGCCGGCCAGCATGTCAGCGCAACTCCATGACAACACGTTGTAGCATGCCTGCGTGACTGCATTCTACACAATGACACAGCACGCACAAACACAAACATTACACGGTGTCCGTGTATTGGCGTGACAACACCTCTCCATATCAGCATGACAACATGTTAGTATGTCAGCAAGGACATCAAGTCAGCATGACAACATGTCTGCAAGCTAGCATAACACAGTGGCAACATGTTAGAATGTCAACATGACAGAACGCACCATACAAGCATGGTAGACTCACGGCATGACAACATGTCAGCATGACAACACGCCTTATAAAAAAAACTTTCATTGGAAAGAACCTGTTTTCAAAATTCAAAAAAAGGCAAAAAAAATCGAAAAAAAAAGATCCCCGTCTGTTATCCCTTTATTTTTTCCTGTGGGTCATCCCCGTTTTTATATAAATTTTTGGGCTCTTTGTGTTGCAAGGCCTAACGTACCTTACAGGAAAATATAAAGGGAACAGCCTGGAAACATAGGATTCGCACAGGATTTCATAAGCAGAATAGACACAGGATTCTATAATCAATTATGTGTGTCGTGGTCACAGGATTTTAGAATGACCTCTGTGGACATTCCTGGAGCCTTCCATTGAGCATTTCCTGGGCTCAAACGCAATGCTTGTGGCACTGTCCACAGAGGTGCTGGGCCGTGGCCTGTTTGCTACAGGCCATGTGGCTGAAGGCACTGTGATCAATGTGTCACCGGAGATGATGGCACTGCTGAACCACAGCTGCGTCGCGAACGCGAAGGTGGTTGATCATGGAGTGCCCCTGGACTGTGTTGCAGTCTTTGTGGCGTTCTAAAAAACTGAACAGGAAACACGGAAATACCTGAAGCAGCAGTGGTCTAGTCTGTCACACTCTCAAACAAAAAACAGTCAAATTGAAAAGTCAAAAAAAGTCATAAAAGTCAAAAAAGTCAACAGTCAACAAAAAGTCGCAAAAAAAGTCAAACAAAAACTTTGCATAGGTAAACAAGTCAAGGAAAAGCTTGTAACAAGGCAAATTGCAGCCTTTTTGCTTATGGCTTTCAGTCTATTAAAAATTCTAGAACCTTTTTGGTTGTTCAACTTTCACCTTTTCTAGCCCCAAGCCAGCCCCGACCCCCTACCCCAAAGTCGCAGGATCCCTACCCAGCCCCAGCCACTGTCCCAGGGTCTCTTCAGCCCCAAGCCAGCTGCTGCTCAAATTTTGGGGCAGGTTGCTGCCAGGGCCAGGCTTTGGGCTGGCTGCGGCTGGCTCCTGGCGGAGGGGTCAGGTTGAGGTCGAGCTCAGGCAGGCTACAGGCGGGCTGGGGCATGCGGGGCTGGGCCGGCAAAAAAAAGTCAAAAAAAAAGTCAATTGGAAAAGTCAATTGTCAAAAAAAGTCAAAAATGCGGATCCTAGCCTTGGCGGATTACTGGAGGCAACAAACAGTCAAAAAGAAGTCAAAAAAAGTCAACAGTGGAAAAAATCAAAAAAAAGTCGAAAAAAAAAGTCGAAAAACAAGTCAAAAAACAACAAAAAAAATCAAAAACAAGTCAAATGTGAAAACCAAGCGCGGATCCTAGCCTTGGCGGATTACTGGAGGCAACAAAAAGTCAAAAAAAAATCAAAAAAAGTCGAAAAAAAGTAAATTCTGCTCGCGACTCTGGGGCCGGACAGGGCTGGGTACTTGGGACTCTGGGGTGGGCCACCAGGGACAGGGCTGGCTTGGGGCTGAAGAGACCCTGGGACAGTGGCTGGGGCTGGGTAGGGGTCCTGCGACTCTGGGGTAGGGGGTCGGGGCTGGCTTGGGGCTGGAAAAGGTGAAAGTTGAACAACCAAAAAGGCTCTAGAATTTGTAATAGACTGAAAGCCATAAGCCATAAGCAAAAAGGCTGCAATTTGCCTTGGCTGACTTATGAGCTTGTTATTACTAGTTTAGTGCAATGTTGTTGTCCTCTTTGCCTGTGTTTTATATATATATATATGCCGGCTTTCTTTTGCTCCTGAGTCGCTTGACTGGTCATTTTTGTTTCTTTTTATTTTTTTTGAACTTTCTTTTTTGATTTTTTTTTGGTGTTTTTCTTTTGTTTTTTGACTTTTCAATTTGTTTTTTTGACTTTGACTTTTCCAGTTGACTTTTTTTTGACTGTTTTTTTTGATTTTTTTTAACTCAAGGATTCTGGCCTTACCATATGAAAGTGTTTTATAAAACACGCCAGCATGATGACATACCATGACAATGACAACATACCAGCATCATATCATCATATTTGCAAACTTGCTGCGACACTTGCTGCTCCGAAAGCTCCGGACACTTCCTCCGAAACCTCCTGCAAAGCTTGCTCCAGAACCTCCTCCGAAACCTCCTGCGGTACCTGCTACGGAACTTGCTCATCAGTTTTCGTATTAACGTATTAAAGGCTCTGAGCTCACAACATCTTGCGGTGCACAAGCGAATGGAATTCGCGGTGCACAAGCAACCCACGAACCTAGACACACTTGAGAAAGAGCTCGCAAGAGCACACTTCAGGGTGGTTCCAGGAGTGCATCAACACTCCATGGCTCTGCAGGTACGTCGAGAGAGCGTCCTCTCGATATCCTAGTCCGTTGGCTCACGCCAGGAACAGAACAGACCCGTGAGCCCCCTTGCCGTAAAGATTGCATGCAAGTGAAAGCCGCTGAAAACGGGGTTTGACGCGCACACACTCAAACACGGGATAAGAGTTTGTACGAAGCTCACCCGATGCCTGGAAAAGGCTGAAGCTTCAAAAGGATCCACCAGATCCCAAAACATACAAAGACCAAAGTTTCACATTCAACGTTTCCATGGTTCAAGATGCAAGGCATCAAATTGCAAATGCAAATTCCAAATGAGGAGACAAATAAATCACAAAAAACCTTAGAAGCCTCTTATTATAGTATAAGTAAGCAAGACACGGATGGAAAACCTCGGGTTATAGTGAGCGATACGAAGGAGCTGCTCATAGTGGTAGTGAACAGTTAAAAGGAAAACACCGACAGACAAGTCACTGACAAGTCTGCCGGCGAACTCTGCCTCCAGTTTGCGAGCGAGACCAAAAATCGTTCTGTAGTGTAGGAAAGCAAGCGCACATCCATGGCCTGTGGATGCTTCCCTCTCTGATGCATAGTTGCGTTGGACAAAGTAGCATCAGAATCATCAGAAAACATGGTCCCCTGCGATCTTTAAAAATAACCAAGCCCAACAGGCCCCTTGTGATTCCAAGGGTTACACACACACACACACATGCCCGCAGGCTCTTGTCGTAGTTGGATTCTGTTGAGCGAGTCGCATTGCAGCGGAGACAACTGGCACGAGATTTTCTTTCGGCCTGCACCGATGCTGGAACTGCTAAAGGCCGCGTCCGACCATCCACCAATTCATGGAAGGACATCTACAAGTACTCCTCCATAGGGGAACCAAAAATATATTCAAAGTGTTTCAAAGTTATCAAACACAACATGCTCGATCCTGAAATTTAGTTGAGTTCAATGGCGGTCTTGTGTCCTTGAAAAAACAAACGTTGAACATTATATACAACAAGCAAACCTCCAAAGCCAAGCAATGCTGAACACAAACACCTTATCACATTCGATGTGGGCGGATTTGCAATGCCTTGTTGCGGTTTGCTTGTCAAAGGCTGCAACGATGCAAAAGCACGATGATGCCCAGGACACACTGCAGTATTCTCCTTTTCTAGACTGCGAAGCCGCTGCTTTTTTGAGGCCAGAGTTCATGATCGAAATGTCCGCTTGGCCAAATTCATTGAGTTTAAGAAGGACGACTGTCATGCATTTGCGTACTCGTACCAACACCACATGATATATGCTTCATTGTGGCATTTCGTGTTGGGCTTGGATTCGCAGGAGTTCATTGCCCTGAGAAGAATGATGTGCGGTTTTGCTGTCATGGTTGATTTGGTATGATTTTTGCTGTCATGGTGCATACAGCTTTCCGCTGCTCCCGTTGAATGGAGCAATGGCAGGCATGGCTGCGGATCGAGAACAAAAACGACAAGATCAGCGCCGGAAGGAAGCTGCTGCTGTTGAACAATACTAGTAGCAGCTATTTGCTACTAGTAGTACGGTAGTACGGCCAGGAGCCCCTAGTAGCGTCCTTGCTCCTAGTAGCGATGCCAGGAGCCCCTAGTAGCTTCTTGTTACTAGTTGTCATATGACCTTCAAATAGCTTCTACCTGCTACTGGTGTAGGGCAGATACTCAGTTGCCAAGCTAGGAGAGCCAACCGAACGATGAAGTAACGGCATGGAAAGTGAAAGAGGCTGACTCTGAGCGATGGAAAGTGCTGCACAGGAGATTTCAATGCGCTTAATTTCGTTTGCCGAGCAGGCCTGCAAGACTTGTCAGTTTTGCGCAATGGTTTCACCCAGAATGCAACCGAGAACCAAGGCTGAAGCTGCACTGAAATCTCGAGCGGAGTCTGAAGCCGGAGTCCTTTGCCAATATGTATTGCTCTCATAAAAGAACATTGTCACAATGTGCCCAAGGTGCTTGCAAAGAAAGTTTAGACTTAGACCTAAAGATACCTAAAGCACAAAGAACATTCAAGAGCCTTAGAGTTGTATACTTTGGCTTGCATGGGTCGAGGGAGTCTTGAGTCTTGGTGAGGCTTGGAAGCTGAAAAGCCTTAGATCGTGGACCTCTAAGACCCGCATTCGCTTCTCTCTTTCTAGAATGTTTCCGTTTCCGTGCTTGAAAGTTGCTTGCTGCGTTCTTTTATGAATAGCTGCAGTATTAATGGCATTTTCATTCTGGCTCCCGGGGCCAATGACAGCAGTGGGTAAGGCAGAACTCATCAATCGGAGGAGCGTCCAGTCAGGCCAACGCAGTTCAATCTGGCAGATTTTGAGATGCATGTGAGTCTATGAGTCGCTTTTAAGATTATCACCTTATACAAAATTGAATGAAGACAATAATGAGAAGTCGTCCTAAACTACAAAGCAATCAGGAAGACAACTCATACGCAAATTGTTGTTCTGCTTAGTCGCCAGAGAGGCCCAAGGCTCATCAAGGCTCTCTCCTGATCATGTGAAGTTGGTACTGTGGCTGTCAAAGCAACAATCGTCGTGGCAAGACCCCAACAGCTTTTGCCTTTTGTGCATTGTAGTGTACATGTGAGAAGTCTAATCTTGGGGATTAGTTTGTGCTATGCGCATTTGTGAGAGTGGTTGCGTTTGCAGCAACCAAATCTGAAAGTGCGCACAAACGATTTCCAGAGAGCTGGCCATTCTACCAGCAAGATCTGAAGCCGCAGCTCCAAAGTGCTTGACATGCCATACGTCTCAAGTTCGAGTCTCTCAGCATGCTTCACCCGCAAAAATCTTTGTTGGAGACCAGATTTGGAACTCCCACCATGCCAACCAGCAATTATACAATATTGAGGGAAAGTGATTTCAGTAAGCTACCTCCAACCTACTAGCTTCTTGTTACTAGTAGTAAGGCCAGGAGCCCCTAGTAGCGCCCTTGCTCCTAGAAGCGATGCCCTTTGTTACTAGTTCGTTTTCTACTTTGTGTGTAGCACATAGAGTGCACCCCAGCCCACTATAATGGAACTGTTTTTGGGCCCTCCAGGCATCGTGGGTGTCAACGAGGACGCTGCAATCAAGAACATGTTGCCTTATTCACAGCGTGCTCTAGATTGGAGTCTTCATGGCGTCTTCAGGAAATCAACAAAACGATTTCCTCGCTTTGACTTCGGTCGCTTCGGGGTGCTCACCTTAGATGGGACAGCACAAAGATCATTGGGACTATGCTGCAACGTACCAATGAGGCGGAATCCTTGACGGGCCATTCTGCGGGCTGTGGGTTGGCGACCAAGCGCAGTGTGCAGTTTAATGACAAGTGTATAATGAAAAGGACACACAAACACACAAAGACTTAGTTTCTTTGCAATTTGAATGGAGGTCTGTGGGACCCACGAAAAGTGCTTCATTGCGTGGTGCCAAACATTTACACACTTATGCACTTGGACAGCAGCAGCAGCAGTATGTGAATGAATCGTTGCTTCCGAACATGACGCACTTTTTATGCCTGGAAGCAAGGCCAGCAATTGCGTGATGTGCACAACCGCCAAGCTTTACACCTGGTGACGATATTCCTTTGGTAGCCGTCAGCCCGTCAGCAGGAGCTTGGCTTAGTTAATGCATTGAAGAATATGCCCAAGGCATATCGTTTGCAGAAAAATGTTTGTCCGTGCTGCGCTGTTCGACTTAGCATTTACCAGACATGCTGCAGACTTCCCAAACTTTTTGTGTCCATACTGCTCGGAGTCCAAACCTATTTGACGAGAAAGTGTAGCATTCAGAGTCATGCTGATGCAGGGAGGAATCATGACTTGTTAGAGCACATCATTTTAACGCACGTTCAATTCAGTGGACCCTTCAAGCTTTGCTTTCTTGTGCTTTCGGTGTATCTGCATATGGGCAGAGTTCGCATTACACTGCCTGCCTCTCAGACTGTCGGAACATTCATTTGCTGATTGTTCATTACTCAATATTATTCATAATACAAAATGAGGTCCGAATGCCGGACGATATGCAGGAAGGTGCTAAAATCTTTGGAGTTGGAGCAAATGCGCTCTCGTGATAGCAACAATACTGAGCTGTAGCTGTGTCTGTGGCCTTTGCAGCAACTCTGTTTTCAACTTGCTGAAGGCCTTGCAGAAGGCTGGGCTCAACGAAGGTGCGATCGTCGCCATCACTGCCAGATCCTTGGATTTACGCACTAACTATATATATATATAAATATAGAGAGATCTCTAATATTCCAGAGGATCCAGAGGAAATCGCGTTTGATCAACGGTAGACGATTGCAGAAGAGAGCCTATCTTCTTCCAAAACATGTTGCGATGGAGCGAGCCTGTTTGGCTCAAATAGTAGCGATGTGGGCTCCCGTACGGGAAAGTATGTTTTTGGGGCGAGGCGCCTTGAAGAACTTTGCCCGATTCAAGAGCTTGACGCTGCAGACGATCAACAAGCAGGTTCTTGAAGCTGAATATGCCGTTCGGGGCAGGCTACCAACTCGAGCAGCTGCAATACAGCAAGAAATATCACAGGGCATGTCGAAATACCCATTCAAAGAGTTGGTGTATTGCAACATTGGCAATCCACAGCAAGTAGGCCAAGAGCCCCTAACCTTCAACAGAGAAGTTCTTGCGCTGTTGACAGCTCCTCATCTGCTTTCCAATTCAGAAAAGCTGGTCGAACAGGGCCTTCTATCAGCAGAGGCAGTAGCTCGCGCAAATGAATACCTTGAAAAGAGTGCAAAGGTAGGAGCATACACTGATTCAGTTGGCTTCGAGTTTATACGCGAGGAGGTTTGTGATTTCATTTTCAGTCGTGATGGATTTCGCCCTGATGCAAAGAATGTATTTCTGACCAATGGAGCCAGTGAGGGTGCTCGTTTGGTGATGTCTGCATTGGCAGCAAAACACCTTGGCACGATTGGGTTTATGGCGCCCATTCCGCAGTACCCACTCTATTCAGCCTTGTCAACGCTGATGGATTCCGAACTCGTGGGATACTACCTCGATGAGGATAAGAATTGGGCTGTGAGTTTGCCTGCTTTGAATGCTGCTTATGATGATGCGGTGAAGAGAGGAATAGTTGTTCGTTCTTTGGTTGTGATAAATCCAGGCAATCCATCTGGCAACAATCTAACGGCGGATACTTTACGAGATGTGGTCAGGTTTGCCAAGGAAAAGAACCTGGTGTTGATTGCTGATGAGGTTTACCAAGAGAACATTCTTACTAAGCATCCCTTCAAGTCCATGTCTAGCATCATGCACGAGCTCAACCTAGACCTGGAAATTGTATCTTTGCATTCGCTGTCGAAAGGCTTCTTGGGAGAATGTGGAGTGCGTGGTGGGTATTGTATTTTTGAGAATTTTGATCCTGAGATCATGCAACAGTTTGTGAAGCTCAAGTCAATTGAACTATGCTCCAATACTGTTGGACAATTATCAGTTGGGCTTATGGTACGCCCACCTGTTGCTGATGCTGCCACTTTGTATGAGAAGGAGAAGAACGAAGTACTCGGATCGCTTAGGCAGAAAGCAGAGATTCTTCGTGAAACACTGAGTGCTTTGGAAGGAATCTCCCTATCTGAAATAGGTGGAGCTATGTATGCTTTTCCACAGGTCAAGCTGCCACAAGCAGCAATAAAAGCAGCAGAAGAACAGGGAGTGGCGCCCGATGAATTCTATTGTATGCAGGCGCTAGAAACCACAGGGCTGGTGGTCGTGCCAGGCTCTGGCTTCCGGCAAGTAGAAGGTACTTTCCACTTTCGTACCACCTTTTTGCCAACATTGGAGAAAATGCAACGAGCCATGAAATCTTTTGCCGACTTCCACAATGACTTCATGAAGCGCTACTCTTGATTATATAGCTGGCGCCATCAAAAATGTGGAGAAAAGAGCAGTAGCGGAAATGCTGTAATTGTTCATTTGGAGGGGTACAGGTCTTCAAGGCGAAGTGCAGTGGAGAAAAACACCATGGAGCCGCAGCTTTGCTCAGGAGAACATTACTGCTGCCGAGCGAGATGGGCTGGGCCTGCAAGCTTTTGAATTCTTGAGAGAATTCTCAGAGTGTTAACTTTGTTACAAATTTCACCTGACTTCTAGTCCAGTTTTGCTCCCAAACAGTAGAGGATACACGGTTGCCCTAAACAAGAGCAGAACACCGCAGAAATATGTATTGAACCTGGCAGCCTGGTCAGAGCATGTAAGGAGCTTGGCATTGCATAAAGAGAAGCAAAGCAGGGAATGAAGGCCCCCTTCAAAGGGTACCTGGTTCTGGAAAGGCTAGGACCTTTCCGTGTCTCTTCTCTATGTCAATGTATGTAAATGCCAAGATCCTGATCTCACGCCAGGTGCAGGTCCCATGGCCTTTTTCGACTTCCAGGTTACTGTTTGGCATTGCAGAGAGGGAAGGCGTGAAGATGCACACGCCATGCTTGCTGGGTGCTGTCCAAGCTGTGCGACCATCCAGGCGAGTGCAGATGCCGTCCCCCAGGCAGGTCCAAAACAGGTGCCAATGTGGAAAGACACTGAAGAACTGGCAGTGCAGGTGACAAGCGTAGCCCCCTCCTGTGTTTTGGCAGATGCCAGGCTGACACAATGTGAGACGATTGTGAGACGATTTGAGACCTCACTTTAAATCATATCATACTTTTGGTCGACTGAACCGATTGACAATTGAGAAAGCACTACGACATACATGTTTTTTTCCAGGGGTGGCTTCTCAACTCCTGCGTTTGATGCTTACCATTGCTTCTCTTCAAGGGCTTGAAGGTGCTTGGCGCCCATGCTAAGGACGTTGGCCGGGCACCCACTGCTCGTTGAGAAGGCCAGTTGCAAAATGATCTATATAATGCTCATTTCACGAAAGCGAGCCCCAAAGGTATTGATATGAGTTGAATTGATAGGTTCAGGGGATGTGCGATCGAATTGATCTCAGACACAAGAGGCCCCCCGCTTTGCGTGATAGAACAACATATCAAGTATTACTACTATATTTTCCACTCCTCCAACATTCGATTACACATCAGTTGCATCATTTGAGAGAAATGAAGAAGATGTACCTTTAATTGTTTTAACAACATAACCACCGGCAAGTCCACTGCTGGGAGATTGATGGAGTGAGTTCGCCCACTACTTCAGGAGGAAGAACGTGTTTTCCTCTCACCAGGTCTTATAACATTTGCGGATTGGCTGCGGTCGAATTGCGAAGTCCATTTCGCGTGGCCAGTGTGGGGCGGTCAGCTATCACCCTCTTCTTAAATCTAAACAATTGAACAGCTTTGGATGTCAATTTTGAACCTTCAAGAAGAAACGGTCTTGTATCCTAGTGGTGTATGGCTGCTGGTCGAGCTAAAGTGAGACATCGCTAGCCAGACATCCTTGCCACTAGACCACACTTGGCCAAGAGTTTTCGGGGGCTTCCGTTTCCGCCTCGACAGAACTTTTCTTGAGCTTCAAACAGACAGACAAAAGCGTTCTCAAGGCCAGGGCCACTGGCGTGGCAGTCCTTCTGATCCGAAACGCTTTTCACTTTGCTGCGTGGGCCTCTGAGCTCACAATCAATACTTCTTTATGAACTGTTGCAGCTGCCATGCATTCGACATGTGGCATTGAACAGAAGATCCTGATGAGCCTAGGTTGTGGCAAGACGTTGAGCCATTGGCTGCAAAGTCATTTCCTGAGTTCCCCAAGTTCCTGCAAGAGACTGACCTATCGTGCCTAGTATGGAGGCACGGCCTGGTTGCAATGGCCTTCCTGAACTCGAAGGCAGAACGTATGTTTCCACCAAGAGGAAAGACATAGAGACTAGCAGGGCAAAACGGCTCTTACCCTTGTCCAATCAGCCAAGGCTTAAAGCTTGGAGTTTTTATGGGTTTTCTTGTTATAAGTAGAACAGAGCAGGATGCAGGTTTCGCACAAAGATGCTGCGAAAACATTTTTTGCAACCCTGTGCAAAACAGATTGGTTTCTACAGTCTAGAGTCTAGAGATGTAATTATGTATATCGTTATATATCGTGATTGGGTAATTACACTGGTCAAGCAACAACTGTTTCGCCGCCGCCTCACGATCCGACGTCCTCGTCGGCCTTCTGTGAGAGATCCCCGTCTCTCTGTCAACCACCGAAGAGCTCCCTGGCTCCAATGTCAAGGCCGAGAGCACAACCCACCTGCCTCTGGCGGCCGCGCTTAAGCCAAAAAGGGCCTGCACGATGAAAGGCTTCAGGTCAAGTGACTCAAGTGGAACTGATCCTCATGGAACACTGCATTCACACTCCCAAAAATTTCTAGAACTCTTTCAATCCGACAAACTGGTGAATAACACTTGGGCATCATTTGGATGGGTACTGTAGTTGTAAGTTGTTGGTTCAATCATTTAATCGAATCCCGTCGGACAAATTACTTTGATGGCTTGTGCTTGAAGTTGAGTCCGAAACTCTGTGCAGCTCGGGGTTGCTGTACGGGTGGTAAGATCAAAAAGTGACTTGGAGTCAGTGATAGCTACATCTTTGATAGTTGGTGCTGTGATTGCTCGGGGAA